GAGTCAAGGGCGGGGGGGGCAGAGCCGTACCTGGGGGTCGGTGCCATCGGGGGCCTCAGCCCCGGGGAGCAGCCAGGGCTGGGGGGAGCCCCGGGGGGCGAAGCCATCGGTGAGAGCATCCCAGACCCTGCAGGGAGGTGGGTGGTGAGCGGCGATCCCAAAATATTCCCTCCCAGAAAGCCGTCCCAAAACGCTAGGCCAAAACGCCTCAAAACACCCCAAAATACAGTCCCAGAAACACCCTGAAATGTCCCCAAATACCGCCCGGAAAAATCCCAAAACACCACTGAGATGCCTGAAATATCCCCAAACACCCCAAATGCTGCCCTAGAAGCCTCCAAAGCTTCTTAAAATATAATGAAATTCTGAAATTACCCCAAAGTACCCCAAAATACTGCCCCAGCGCTTGATGCCCCCAACCATTGCCATCAAAATACCCCCCAAAAGGCCACTGCGATGTCCCCAAATGTCCCCAGATGCCCCAAAAGACCCCCCCTGAAATGCTCCAAAATGCCACCCCAAAACACCACCATTACGTCCCGAAACGCCCCCAAAGCCCCAGAAACACCCCAAAATGCCATCCTAAAACACTGCCCCAAAGCCCTCTCTGAAAAACCCCAAAACACCTCAAAAAGCTGCCCTGGAGCACACCAAAATGTTCTTCTGAAACACCCCAAAGGTCTCAAAGCTCCAAAATGCCCTGGAATGCCCCAAAATGCCATCCTGAAATACCTAAAAATGCCCCCCAAAGCCACAACGCTGCAAAATGCCACCCTGAAACGCTCCACCACCCCCCAAAAAAACCCCAAATACCCTAAAGTGCCACAAAACACCCCAAAACGCCACCTTTCGACACCCAGAAATACCCTAAAATGCTCTCCTGAAACATTGCCCCAAATTGCTCCAAAATGCCCCAAAAAGCTGCCGGCGAACACCCTGAAACGCCTCAAAATACTGTCCCCAAACCACCACCCCAAAAAGCTCTCAAACGCCCCAAAATACTGCTCTGACACCCCAAAACGCCACTGGGAAAGACCCCAAAATGCTGTCCTGAGATATTGCCCCAAACCACCCTAAAATGCCTCAAAAAGCTGCCCTGATACCCCCAAAACCCCCCAAAATGCCACAGTGATGCTTCAGGACATCCCCCAATTGCCCAACACCCCAAAACGTTTCTGCAATACCCCAAAATGTCTCAAAACTCCCCAAAATGCTGCCCTGGAACGTGCTGAAGTGCCCCAAAATGCAGTCACAGCACCCCAAATTGTCTTCCTGAAACACCCCCAAATTGTCACCTTGAAACAGGCCTGAAACACCCCAAAAATGCTCTGAAACACCCCAAAACGTGGCCCTGGAACATCCAAAAACGCTGCTCTGAAAGACCCCCAAAATCACCCCCAAACACCTCCAAAAAATAGCTGTGATGCCCTGAAACCCCCCAAAACCTCCCAAAATCACCCCAAAACTGCCCCAAACCCCCCAAAACCACCCCAAATCACCCCAAAACTGCCCCAACCCCCCCAAAACCACCCC